GGTTTATGGGTTTATAGGATTTCGTTCAGGGTTTAAGTGTTTGAGGGTTCGGGGTTTACTTTCGGATGCACGGGTTTCAGGGTATAGAGTTTAGCTTAAGGTTTGGTTAAGGGCTTATAAGGGTTTAAGCGCTTCAGGGTTTCAGGTTTTAGTTTAGGGTTTGGTTTCGGACTTAAGGGTCTAAGGGTCTGAGTGTGTAGGGTTTCAGGCTCCATGCTTAAGGGCTTCGGGTCTACTTCCGCAGGTTTGTGACAAATGTAGATGGAGTATTGAGCCCTCCGCCGACCTGAAAGCGGATAAGAATTGAATATAGTAGGGATCCTAGCAAGAAGGCGCACAAAGAGAGCGGGTGTATCAATCAGGCTTTGCAAAGTTGTATGGGGAGACCGGGGTTAAGATAAGGGCTGAAGATTTACATAAGGGCCCCCACAATCAGTCTGTTGAGGTTGCTGCTACATCCCTTACCTCCTGGCCCCCGAAACTCTCAACTTTTGTAGCCTAAAGTCCCAAGCCTAAAATCTAAATGTCGCGACATTAAGCTCCAGGAGCCCTAAGCCCCAAAGCCCGAAGCCTAAGAACCCTAATCCCTACATTCCAAGAGCCCGAAACCCACCAAAACACCCCATAAACCCTGAACTTAGTAACAGAAGCACCTAGACTCCAGTCCAAACCCTACACTGGCTGACGAACGTCCGGCCGGACCCAAACCCCAAACCCTACACCCCACATCCTAAACCCCAAACCCTAAGCAAACCCTAAGCCCTAAGCCCCAAACCCTAAGCTCCATAAACTCTAAACCCCAAACCCTAAATAAACAATAAGCCCCAAACTCTAAGCTCTAAACCACAAACCCCTATCCCTAAACCCAAAATGAACCCTAAGCCCCACACTCTACGCTCTAAACCCTAAACCCCTATCCCTAAACCCAAAATGAACCCTAAGCCCCACACTCTACGCTCTAAACCCTAAACCCCTATCCCTAAACCCTAAATGAACCCTAAGCCCCAAACCCAAAACCCTAAAACACCACCCAAGCCTCAGGCGAACTCTGGGCCTCGGGTCCGAGGATGAGGCCGGAGCTTCGGTATCCTCGTAGAGTTCAGGGTTTAGGGGTTTTGTTTAGAGTTTAGGGGTTAGGATTTGGGATTTAGAGTTTAGGGTTTGGGGTTTAGGGTTTAGAGTCTAGAGTTTGGGGTTGTTTAGGGTTTATAGGGTTTGGGGTTAACGGACTGACGAACTAAGCCTCGTCGGGTTTTGGTGTTTCTTTCTTTTGGGGTGTTGGCGTTTGTACGAGTTGTTTGAGCTCTTGTTGGGTGTGGGCCTCTTGGGGTTTGGAGCGCATAGGATCCCCGACACTCCCATGTCAGCAAATGTTGCAGACTTTCGCGAAAAGCATCCCTGAAAGCCACATAGAGCCCGAAAGGTTCTATGTCAGTGATTTGGGCATACATAGAGAACGGGCCTGTTTGATAGAACACAGCTTGGTTTCTATAGACATGCATTGGGGGGTTCCTTTACGACTAGGATGCAAAATCAAATGTTGGAACGACTCCAGGGTACATGGATTGAGGATGAAATACTGTTTTCCAGTAGTTAAACCCATCAGTAAATATGTTAGAATCACCGCAAACTGGGCCCGAACGATTGTACAGATGCGTTGCACAGACGAGCCATCATGTATTATGACCCTGAAGCCCTGAAGCCCCTGTGCTTGGGTCGATTAATGGGTGGTTTCCTCGGCGATAGTTCCTTAAATACTTGTTGAGGGGTCTAGGGTCTTACATCGTTGTTGATGCTGAGCATTCGGAGGGCAGTGCATGTGCTCAAACTAGATTAGCTGTCAATGTTTGGTTGGGGAGTCTGGGCTAGTAAGGTTTAGGCCGTCGCTGTTCCTGCTATATCCCGAGAAAACGACTTGAAGGTTTGGGGTTTTAGGCATTTAACTTCGGAGCAAATGCTGTTCCTGCAGCAGGGAGTAGGGTGAGGACTAGATCTATATACCCCCAAACCCATCTAAAGCCCTAGGCTTGTAATCGCTGTCCTAAACCCTAAACCCAATCCACGAAGCAACCCAGAGAGCTTGCCTTTTGCCACGACGACGTCGTTCGGCTCATGCCGCTGGGTCGCACAGAGCCGGACTTGAAGGGTCTTAATTATATAAGTATACGAACACATTATTGTGTGTACGTGTATACATATATTTATATATAGAGACACAGGCATATATGCACATCTACATATATATTAGAGTCCGACACTCGAAGCTTCCCGGCCTGCACACACTACCTGCTGCAGGACTGGGGTGTGCAGTACTTAAAGCGCAAAAGAAGCCTGGACAGAACACGGAGTTCTAATAGATTCTTATGCACCTTGCGGCACAGCGACTTCACGAACTTCATACAGTCTTCGTCTCGATAGCAGTGCTTGTGGCGTGCGTTATAAAGCTGCCGCTGCATCATAGCATTCACTTCCAAAAAAGCGTGGTGCTTAGGACGCAAAGGAAAGCACTGCGAGTCAGCCAGGGCAGCACGGTGTGCTAAGAGCTTGTAAACCCGCAAGAAGCGATATGCGATGCGGGTGAGCTCGGCGGCATCCTCTCGTTGCAGGTACCGATTGCAACCTTCAAGCTTTGAATGCCACTGCGAGATGCTCCGGCAAACTTCAAGCCATAACAGAAGCTCCTCGTCGCCATTCGTCGAGCTGTCATTTACCAAACCATGACATACGGATGTCAGGAAGATCGTAAAGATCCTGCTGTGGTAGGCTTTCAATGTAAGCTCCGGTGGGTCGCGAAAAAGCATGCCCTTGGTGATGATCGGCTGCGATTGTGGGATACCCTGCAGGGCACACCAGTCTCTGAAACGGACTGTCGTGATCCTCAGCTGTTCGCGAACGGGGTCCTTAGAGCAGATATTCTGAGGGTCGCCAAAGACTCCTCTCGAAAGCAGCCCAATCAGCACTCCAGCGTTCACCCATTGCAACAATCCCAAATTGCATACGTGCATGGTGCAAAATGTGATCATGTCCGGCGTGAAGCCAGCGACGGCCACCAGCGGGCAGATGTACCGACCCAATGACACATCGAAGAACTCAGCCGCTGTAAAGCGACGTGTTGAATCGAAGTGCTCAAACCGGTCGAACCTCAGCTTCGAAATCAAACTATGGCCAACATTATAAAGCTGCATTCTGATCATTCTTATTACAAAACGTTATCGGATGAGTTGCAAGTCTGGCGGCCTATGCTGGCCACTCTTGGAAGCTTCGCAAAAGCAACAAATGTTCTTACAGTTATAATGTCGCTTCATCCGCCAGAGCTCCCAATGCCATTTCCAATCTCCTCTCAGCTCAGTGAGTGCCCAGGGCCCAGCTTCGAACTTTTGTCCGGCCTTGTCGGCTCTCCTGCCCTTCAATGGCTGACCATGGGGTCCGATGCGAGGCCAGTGTCCAAAGAAGGCTACGTTGAGGCTCCAAGCACAAACTCTCATGATTGGGTCCAGCGTTGCAGGGCCTAAGCTGAGTTCGTACCTCAATATACACCAAGGAAAACGAGATAGCTGCTTTGGGCCTGGTTCGTGAAGGACAAAGCTGACGAGCATGCAAATAGCCTTTGCTCCAGCGAGGGAATAGGATGTGTCGTCGCCAGAGAATCCGACCGGCGTGTGGTGCGGTGGTTTCTTCTCAGCGGCGGGGTGGTAAGGGAAGTTTCGCTTCCAATGGCCCCAAAATTCGGCCAATGTCTCTTTGCTGAACCGAATCCCGTGCTGAACCTCAGCTTGATTTGAAGAATCGCATGGACCGAAAGTAACATCCTGTGTGCCACGACATATATACACATCACATATGTGTACATACTATAAGACAGGTATATATATATATGTATGTATGCATATTTTACAAATATGTACATGCATACACACAGTCTTGTAAAGACAATGTATATAAGCCTAAGAACCCAAATGGCCCATTTTAAGTAGGTAGTTATATCTAAAGACTTTAACACCAAATAAAGTAGGTAGTATTGGTGTACTTGGAGTCTAATTATTAGGGATCAGTCGGGATGCCGCGATGTACTCCAGCAGTTCATGCACCAAAATAATCGGCACCCTCATGGAGGTTCTCGCATGTGGGACTTGAGATCGGCGATCACGAACGGGCACCCGTACGGTGTACATGTCCTTATATACACGGGATCATTAGTCTTAAATATGCAGTGCGACAGCATATCGGCAACACGGTCTGCTTAAGACATGCGTGGGTGGAGACAACCGTTATAAATGTTGGGACTATATCTAATAATACGGGTTTCAGCTAGACTGGTGGGTTTGGTACCGAAATCGGTTCAGATAGTTTAATAGCTTTAGGTTGTAGCGGATTTCCCAAATTTGAAACGAATATGCTGGTGCATGCGAGGGCACGAGCGGTAACCCCAAGACCCGGTACAGGTCTCTCTCAGCATTGGCAGGATGACGACCCCAGGTTCCAATACCAGCCATGCGGTAGGTCAGGTCGGAGGAGTTCGGGTTCTCCTGCTGTGAGGTGATGGCTACTACAAAAAAACACACACATCTATATGATGTTGAAGTTAATCGAACATACACGTCATTATCAGCAGATCCCCAAATCCTCTTGTAAAGAAGCCTACATATACCCTAAACCCTAAACCCGAACCCCTAAGCGCTAATAACTATATATTACAAACACCGGTATACACCTGAAGACGGCTCCTTGACACATGCTTCGGCCGCTGCTTGTAGTTCTTGGCAACTTGTTGCCTGGGCTTGGGATGGAGATCTAGATTTCGAACTTTTGTTGCAGTATTGTATGCTTCATTATACAGGTGTGGAAATATCACAGACCTTCAATTCCGAAGCTTAGTAATTATTAAGGTGAGTACACTGATGTAGCCCGCAAGAATCCACTATGCTGTAACCTGTACCATACGATATCTTAGCCGAGTCTCCCCTCGACCCAAGCTGGAGATCAAATGTTCCGCAAAGGCACAGCTCTGCACACCTGCGATGGGCGGAGGCTTGACACTTATACGTATACGTATAAAGTATATATATCTTTATAAAGATTCATATTAAGCGACAACGTTTAACAACAATTACCTTCGAATGTTGCTGCGAACCTATGGCAATGTTACTTGTTACTTCGGGCCGGGGATCTTTGCAACTCATCTCTGATTTCGAGCGGTTTAGGGTCTAGGGTTGGGGACTCGTAGGGTTTGGGATTTGTGTTGAGTGTTATTATATATATGGTTTCGGGTTTATGGGCTCAGGGATACAGGGAGTCGTAGGGTTGGGATTTTTGTTGAGCGTTTTCGGGTTTATGGGCTTGGTGATATCATCATGATCAGCAGGGACTCGTAGGGTTTCCGAATTTTGTTGAATGTTATTATATGGTTTGGGGTTTTTTATATAGTATGGGGTTACAGGGACTCGCAGTGTTTTAGAAATTTGTTGAATGCTATTATATGGTTTGGGGTTTATGGGTTCAGGGATTACATGGACTCGTAGGGTTTTGGATTTTTGTTGAGTGCTATTATATGGTTTCGGGTTTATGGGCTCAGGGATTACAGGGACTCGTAGGGTTGGGATTTTGGTTGAAGGTTTTTTCAGGTTTATGGGCTTAGGGATATCACATCAGGGACTCTTGAGTGCTATTGTATATGGTTTCAGGTTTATGGGCTTAGGGATTACATGGGACTCGTAGGGTTTGGGAACTTTGTTGAATGTTATATATGGCTTCGGATTTATGGGCTTAGGGATTACAGGGGCTCGCAGGGTTTGGGATTTGTGTTGCATCTTATTATGCATGTTTTCGGGTGTATGGGCTTCTTTTCTTCAGGGATATCACATCACGTAGGGTTTGGGATTTGTGTTGAATGGTATTACATGGTTCCGGGTATTATTGGGCTTAGGGATTACAGGCTTTTAGGGTCAAGGGCTTGCATTATAATGGATTGGAGTTGCAACTGCTCTGCTTTTAAGTTTTTGTCGCATCGACTCGGCTCGATATCTCCCCATCGAGCTTGAGACCTCGGGCCCAGCACGGCTGCACCTGCTAGTA